TAGTCATACTCAACTGACTGCAAATTATAAAAAATGACATAAAATGAAATTAAAAATAGCTTTCAAAAAAATGAAATTCTAATTAATTTAATAAGAAGAAAGTTTGCTTTCTGCACAAATGTTAATAAAAAGATTTTTGGCTGAAAAATTGGTAGACAAATGTTTTAAGTTAATAAATTTTAGCTTTTCTTTTGAAAACTTAAATTTTTCTCGAAAATATTTAAATTTATAATTAAATATTATCTGATAATAGAAAAAGCTGATTTGTTAAAAACAAAAATAATATCAAAATTATGCTGCAATTGTTTATTATTAAAAGATTTTACTTTTAAACTTGTTATGTTATCATTTTTATCACTACAAAATTTTGAACAGTTGTTAAATTTAGTCTAGATTAAACTTTATCTTCAATATTTTTACAAAACAATTCTGATTTGTTTTTTATTAATAAGTATAGAAATCGAAATTTTCATTAACATTTATAACTTTATGAAAAATTGTATTTTAGGGTAGTGTCATATGCAGTACCTCCGCAAGAAATTCTTTCCAAGGATTCTGTCACAGTTTCCGTTGATGCAGTCGTTTATTTCCGTACTTCTGATCCTATCGCTTCTGTAAACAACGTGGATGACGCCATATATTCTACAAAATTACTCGCTCAAACAACTTTACGTAATGCTCTCGGTGATTACGTTTTCTTCTGTTCTACTAATTCTTTTCCTTACTAAAATAATGCTTTGATCTCAAAATATTCTATATTTTAATTAGTCAAGCTTATTTATTGACTAGTACCTTAAATTAAAAATAAAAAAACAAAAATTCTTTAAAAAAAGAAAAGAAAAAAATTTTTTTGCAGTAATTAATTTTAGGCATTTAATTAAATTTGAAAAGTTTAAATTTCAAGTTTTTGAAGCAATAAGAGAACAAATTCAAAAAGCAATGAAAATAGGTGCAAAAATTTGTCTAATTTTCTTGTAGCAAAATTGATAATTTTTTATAGAAATCCCATGCATATGTGGAAGGGAAACAAATGTAATGGAAGCTTTTTGTTAAAGATGAAAGTTGTACAAAAATAGACAAGTTAATAAAAGCAAAAGTAATTGTTTAATGATTGAAAATTTTTTAAGTATTAGCAAATTTGATTAAGTTTACGTGAAGTCAAAAAAAGTATAAATAATTGCAAATTGCTAATTTTAGGAATGAAAACTTTAACAGAAATGTTGACGGAGCGAGAAGCTATCGCACAACTTTGTGAGACAATTTTAGACGAAGGGACCGAACATTGGGGAGTCAAGGTTCATTTAACACCAACTTTTTTAACTTAAAATACGTGGTACTTGTAATGTTCACGTCAATGAAAATAACATACTTAATTCATATAAAACAAAGTACGTAGTAAAAGTTGATGAAAAAAAATTTTTGATAACAGTAATACTTGGATAATTTGTCATTTTTATTTTATCTTGATTCAGGTTGAACGAGTGGAAGTAAAAGATATTAGATTACCTCAACAGTTAACACGTGCAATGGCTGCTGAAGCTGAAGCGGCACGTGAAGCTCGAGCAAAAGTGGTCGCAGCCGAAGGCGAACAAAAAGTAAGTCAAAGTTAACGTCAATGTTTGAACAGATATTATGATATATTATTATTTGTTTTTTATAAATTATTTCTGTGTTTTTTGTAAGAAAATAATGACTGATTGCAATTGTATGAAATTAATAAAACTTAAATTTACTTAACGATAGCTAACTTTTATTGAAATGATTGATGCATTTATCGAATTACAAATCAGTTGAATTGAGCTGAGATCTCGAGTTAATGCTATGAACTCAAATATTGTTCAGAAGGGAACTGAAAAGTTTACTGCACATTAAAAATGAATTAATAAATATTAATTTCTAATTTCATGAAATAATAATAACAAATAAATAATAACAAATCTTTGGAACACATTTGTAAAAAGTTGACATTAAATTTAATACTGAACATTTAATTATAAATTATCATTTTTCATTTTAGAATACTCTAAAGTATTTCCTATAGGCTTCACGAGCACTTAAAGAAGCTGCAGACGTGATTCAGTCTAATCCAGTTGCATTACAGTTACGCCATCTACAAGCGTTGAATAGTATTGCGTATGATTTGTTATATTTTTTATGAAAATTTTGTTATTTCTGAACTGTTACTCACTTTTTCTTAGAATACTCAATGAAGAAGCTTAAATTTTTCAAAACAATACCGTATAACGTTTGAACCTTGCACACGTTTATTCACGTAAATAGTACTATTTTCAAAAATATCTTTTCATTATTTGTTTTTAGAATTTCTTTTTGTGAATACAGCTTGTGTGAATTATACAGTTTTGAATAATAAGTGTTGACGTTTGAGAGTGATTATTAATATTGAAAAATAAATGACATCATAGCAAAATTAGCTACTATTTATTGTTTATGAATTTAAAAAATTATTAAAAATAATATCAAAATTAGATATGAATAATAAGTAATGCACTTTACAAGTACTTACAGTAATAAAATTGTATAGCCATAAGATAAATGATAATAACTAATAAAATAATACAAAGTGTATTTTTACAGAGCCGAGCACAATTCAACAATTGTATTTCCTGTCCCAGTAGAAATGTTTGGTGCATTTATGAAAAAAGACAATTAATTAGCATTTTGTGAAGACGTGTAAACAAGTACTCTTCAGTAAACTGGTTCATACGATAATATTGTACTGTATTATTTTGTTTTATGCATACGATAGTTACTTATTCTTGCATTGTGTATTACTGCATCAAATGATTTTATATTTTATCTGTTTTAAATTTTAATACTAAATTTGTAATTAAAGTTGAATTTGAGAAATTAAAAACTTTGACAAGAAAGTAAACTACAAAAGTAATGCTTGTAAAAGATTGATAACTGCAAATTAATAAAAATCTTAAAGGTAAAACTTTTGATAAGTAATTATTTTATAATCTGACAGTAATGACAGTAATCATATAGACTGAATACAGTACTTGTTTATAGTATTTATGAATATTAATTAGTGTTTACTTTACACGCACAGCAGTATATTTTTCTAACAGTTATTTATAATTTAAACTAAATTTGGTATCTTTTAAAGTAATCACAGCAATACTGCACATGCACAAGCTACATGGGCAGCTTATATACTTCATTTTAGTATAGTATTATTTAATTTTGTACCAAAAAACTAGCTAGGTAAAATTGGTAGTAAATTGAAATGCTCCTGGATATATTCTTGAAAATTTTTCTCTCATAAAGTATTATGCAAAAAATTTGCATTGAGAAAGTATTGACTGAAAGTTTTCGTTATGATCAGTAATTGATTGATTTTTCCATTTTCTGACAATTATAAATCATAGTTTCACTTTTGCATATGAAAATCTTCGTTGTAATCAATAACTAATTAATTAACTGGATTTTTGTTACATCGATAATCAATTAATTTTTGAATTTTTTGGTAATTTTCAATCATATTTTTACTTTTGCATAGTGTATAATCAGACTGAAAAAGTATGAAATTCAGATTGTATCTTAAAATTATTGTACTTTAAGATGGGAAATATTTATTTAAAGCAATAAACATGCATTGGTAGGTAGTGAAAATTTGGAGCTAAGAAATATTATGCCAAACAATTACGGAAACTAAATTTAAAAATTGAAAAAGCTAATTTTAGAAAA